AATAAAAAAGATGATAAATTTTAGCTTACTTCAACCCCAAGAATGTTATACACCGAAATATTTACACATTGTCTTTCAAACTATTTCAATATCTGATTCAACAATTTCCATTAGAAAGAAAGAACAAAATAATAAGTAGGCTCAGAAGGACTCTAGTTAGAAGGTTTATTTTTGAAAATTAATATTATAATTAAAAATTCTTTTAAATCCTTGAAAAGGATTTTATTTTTCAACTTTTCATGTTAGAACAGGAGAGCATAACACCCAATGAAAAGAACTGTTGAACATGATTTGCTGCCATAAAAATGTGTGTTCATTATCAGCCATCATTTAAAAGTCGTTCATACCCTTAAGATAAAAATATATCTGCCAACATGGATAGGAAAATATCCAGTAGATTTTATGAACTAATACAAGTCTGATGATAATTGTTGCCTAATGTTCGAAATATTTTACACATAGGGAATTTTAGGGATTTTTACAGTCATCAAAATAGAAAAACTGTTTCCGGTTAGAATGAACATTAAATGAACTTAACTGTATTATGTTTACTGATAATTTTGAATAGGAAGGCATTTAATGCATCACCGATATTTAAGTTTATTTGAAAAGGGTGTTCTGAATAAAAATAAAATGAACATTTTATGACAAAAGTTTTAAACTCATTTTTATAAATGAGACTAATTTTATTATATATAATACTTATTTTAATATAAGACTCATTTATATATAATAATTTTTTTACATATAATAATTTATATATATAATACTTATTTTAATAGAATAAGCAAGCAATAATCTGTGCAAAAATTCTACTTCAAAAGGGATCTTTTAAGAAACTTACTCAAATTTAGGGAATTTTCTGAAATATACAAAAAACCAGGAGAATTTTTATTAAACCAGTAGAGGAAGAGAAACAGGAAAAATCCAGCAGAGGAGTTGGCGTGTGTGTAAAAACTGAGGGACCTGAAATATTCATCGTGAATGACAAAATCTTATTTGAAACTCCTTTTCGTCAAGATATTTTATTTCTTCTTTCCGTACATACCAAGTTCCCGATAATGTTGTTACACGAAGAGAATATTTTACAGTGTTTCGAAGAAAGACTTTTTTCCCCATCGAAGATCTGCATGGCTCAATTCTACAAAACCCCCATTGAACAAAGAAAATTGCATTTTAATAAAAAAGAACTTTTTTACATTCTTTGCAAAGAAATTACAATTTCAAAAGCAAGGGAAACCAAATTTTATAAATTTGTTGTTAACTCTAAAAAAATTAAATCCCCCACCCCCTGTAAATAAAAAGTGCCTAAATGCATATTTTTGTGTTTTCAATTATTTGCATCTAACAGTTATTTTAAAGCAGAGTTGGCAAGTTTTAAGGCAGAATGGATTAATCCACGGTTTAAACCTTCCTGTCAAAAACCCCCTTTATTCAAATTATGTCACAATTTAAAAAAAATATTCTGAAAATAAAAGGTTAACTTTTGAATAAGAAATAAAATGAAGAGACTTTTTTTTGTTTTATTAAAAGAGTTTATTATTATTTTTGATATCCTTATGCAAAAACATAATTTATCAGTATTAAAAGCATATTTATTCATATTTGAAGGATGTATTCACTTTTGTTGTTCAATGAATTGTGAAGCTTCTAAAGTTGCACATTTTTTCCCTATTATATTATTTTCCTATTATATATAAGTTAAAGCTAATTGTATAAAAAGTATCATATATGTATTAATATATGTAATTAATATGCTTACAATGGTTACACATATAGAATTTTTGTCTTTTTACCAAAGTTCAAGGTTTGGGGCCAGTTTAGGACGGCTTAGGACAATTTTAGTCAGCTTAAGACCACGCATCCTGTCCAAAACCAGCTTAGGGTGCCCAATACCCTGTTTTAAAGCATTTAATTATTGATGTGTTTCAAATTAATATCGCAGCCAAGTTTAAAGACATGTGAAATGATCTGACACTAAATTTCATAAAAAGCAAAGCGTTTCAAGGTTTGCAATATCTCTCTTATTTTTATTCAGACAGATTTAAAAACTATCTTCTGAGTGGGGGAAAGGAGATGTTTTTCAAGTTGATTTTCAGACATAACAGGAGACAAACCCTCCTGTTACGTCAGCAAATCCCTTCGGAATCAGAAACAGGAGCTTTTGACGGAGATTAAACCGTCTAGCCTCTCTCGCTCCTGAAACTGACAACTAAATCTCATTCAACAGACTTTGTAAAAACAATAACGAACGTCTAACGAAATAAATAGGTTTTTTTCTTCTGCTCCGTTTTACATATTTTTTTTATTCAATTTTGCATTAACCCAATCGCCCCATTTCAATAAATATTTTTTTATTCACACTGTGACGTATATTTTTCGCTAATTTTATTTTTTCGTTTTTGTCAAGAGCTCTGAAGACACCCAAAAATGAATAATAATTCAATTGGAGAAAACACTTTCGGTTGAAAATTTTTTAAACTATTGCATTTTTTTAAACTTAAAACGGTTATTGGCAAAGGAAATTTTTTGAAAACGTATGATTATTCCTTTTGAGATTTATCATTATGTTTTTATGATGGATTAAAGTTACAAGTCAGTAAATAAAAATATAGATATCCATACTGCAGTATCAGCCATTGCCATATAAACTTCTCATTGAATCCGCTTATTTGAAATAAGAACCATTAAAAATAACCAATTTATAATTCTCCAAAACAGCATGTTTACTTTTGAGTGAGTGCTTTCATTTTCTCATTCATTTTTTAAGGCTTAATTTGAAAATGAATGTTAATTTTTCAACTTTTATTTTATATCCCGTAATACAAAAAATTATTTTATGATTCCTTTTCAGAAGATTAAAAATTTCATAAATGATATTTTTATTATATCCTAATATTAGGGATTTGATTATAATTTTTTTGTGTTCTTTGATTTTATGAGTCTTGAAAACATTCTTTTAGTATTTTTAAAATTTAACTATAATACTTTTAAAATAAGATACATTAAAAATAATTATTTGAAATAAAATTCATTAAAAATAACCAATTTACAATTCTTGAAAACAACATGTTCACTTCTCAGTGAGTGCTTCCATTTTCTCATTCATTTCTTAAGCTTTATTTTAAGAAATAAATGCTAAGTTTTCAATTTTTTTAAAAAATTTTATATCCCATAAGAAATTACGTTTTGAGTTTTTTTAAAAAATTTTATATCCCATAAGAAATTACGTTTTGAGTCTTTTCAAAAATTTGATAAACGATATTTTTAATGGATCCAAATGCACTGATGTAAGAAATGAATCGAATTTGCAGACTGGGTCGACTATCTGTAGGACTACTAGACTGATTTTTATGAAATTTAATATGTGTTCATGTATTGATACAATACAAAACAAATAACCCTTCAACAATTGTAATACTTACGCGTGATAGTGCGTAACGCACGTTGGAGTCGGAAGGTATGGAATTGCTTACATGAAATGATAAACTGCCTTATTTCAAGTATGAAATCATGCTGCAAGGCCTGTATATCTGTATCATCTACCCCCTATTGAACCATTTTTTGTTTAGTTTATCCTGCAACCGTTGTTTCATACCTTCCGAACCCATCGAGTGTTATACACGCTCATGCATATGTAATACAATTGTTGAATGGTTATTTATTTTGTATTGTATCACATATTAAATTTCATTAAAATCAGTCCAGAGAAAATCCAGCCTGTCTGCTTCATTTCTTACACCATTGTATTTAGGGTTTCAGCAATGAATTTGTTTTGGAATCTTTGATTTAAGCCAATATGAGTTTTGAAAGCATTTTTTTTAAGTTAGTGAAATTTTCATTAAATATTTTTCCCTTTCATTATTATTAAAAAAAATCCTGTATAAAACAATATTTAAAAGCTGCTTTATTCACTACTTGGTGAGAAATGAATGTAACTCTAGTCTACGTAGTTATGGATTCATAGAGTTAATCAGGGCGTTTTAAAAACCGAAATCATCAGAGAAAGAGATCATCCCTCATTCTATGGTTTTTATTGAAAGAAAAACACATTTTTTTTATAAAAACAAAGAACTGTATTGTAAGAAAAAAGCATGCGATTTTTAATATTTTAAAATAAATTAAAGCTATCTATCGATGCCGGGAAAATAACTGCGCTGAAACAAAAATTATTACAGTCTTTAGTTTCATTTTCTAATAAAGTGGATAAATAATTAAAAAAGAATAGTTGACATTTTTTTTCTTCCGGATAATTGATAAGTAGGAATCTATGCGAAATATTACCAAAAAAGAAAATGATAATAAATAATGCCAATCGCCAGATTGCCCAAGAAAGTCATTTTGACTGGTTTTTAATTTCAATTAGAAAAACAATGATGTATATGTAATGAAAAAATTTCTTAGAATTTTGTTGACTTTTTGTACAACATATAATTTTTCTAGTGCTAATATTTACTAATAACGTGTTATATAACTGTAAATAATATAAAAAATAATTTTCAAAATTTTTTTTCTTCACATTAGTAATTCTTTCACTCATTTTAACTGCTTTTGGGTAATATAGGCATAGGTCTTTCTAGCGTTAAAAAAAATGAATAGTTTCGTTTTAAATTGATAGTGTCCCCATCCCTTTTGTGTTTAGGACAAATTCTGCAAAACCAAAATTTCAGGCAATTTCGCAATTTTTGAAAAACTTATTATCGCATTATATTTTTAAGTGTGTCATATTGTCATTTAAAAAGAATGACATAAAACTGCAATAGTGTAGAAACTAACAGATTGCGCAATACCACGCATGTAGAAATATTGAGTGAATTTTCGGTGGCTACACCCTTTAAATATTCAGTTTAACATTTAAGACGAATCGGGGAAAAAAATAAAAATTGTGTCACATGGATTTCGTGTTTTACAATACATTCAAAAAGACATTTTGACATATAAGAGTTTGCATGAAATTAACACTGGAATAGACAAAAAGTGAATATTTAAAGCGAACATACCAGTAATGTTTAACAGTTTTCAATATTTTCCTTTCTCACTTCGCACCATAAAAGATGATATCAAAATAGAAATCGTCTTTCGAGTGGATAAAAAACAAATCCTGTGTAAAAAAAACAGTGGATAAAAATCTAATCCTCAGTCGATGTCCTCACACCAGCGTTTTCATCCCAGTCACTGATATCCCTGAGACTCGCGGAAGAGCGACCGTATCCTCGCCCTCACTGCGCATGCGTCTTTCGAAACTGGCTCCGCCTTTGCCTTCTGAGGGTCCAATGAGGTGGTGAGTAGGCGGATACCATTTGTTCGGTAAAGTACCAACGAAGGTTGAAATGCGTCAGGAATGGTAGCTGAACATTGACATCTGCCATTGGAGGGACCTTTCTTTTTTTATTTATTTGAAAGAAGAATAAATAACAGAAAGGGAGTAATCCTCTTCTGGTAAACAATGTTGCGTAACATCTTTATTGTTTGTTGTTTATTTACAATGGTGAGGGCTGTTGACCGAACTTTCTGTTTTTCCGCATTAACATGAAAACTATATAATTTCAGCAGTTTAAACATTTTTTTTTTCAAAATGAATCTCCTTATAAGGACATTTATTTAGAATCATTTTTGTAGTTTTATGTCATTATTAACTAGCGCTGACATTATAATTTTAAAATAGTGTTGAACACACATAAAAAACAGACCCACTAAAGAGTTTCTGTGCATAATCAGGTTGCTATTAGTCATTTGATTAATAATATTTTAATATTTAAAAATATCATTTAGCCTGAGTGATTTTTGAGGAAAGCAACGGCATCTTTTGTACAGTTATCAAAATGTTTCTATGGTTACCTACTGAGGATGTGGCTCACTGCAGACCTTAAATTCACGTTGCAAGGTTAATAGAGCTGAATAAAGACAATTATCAAACGGAAAAGAATTCCTTTCATATTTTATAAGTTTTCACTCGTGTTCATAATATCTTCTTTCTTTTTAACATGCTTTCTTCTCATAAGCGGTCAGGAGATATAAAAGATAAATAAATCAATTCGATGCAAGGCCAGGATTAACGATGCATTTTTTTGTGCTAAAAATATTTCTCCATGTTCTTTTTAAGTTTACAGTAAAAATTACACTATTATATTATATTATATTGTATTGTATTGTATTGTATTGTATTGTATTGTATTGTATTGTATNTTTAATTATATTATATTATATTATATTATGCAGTCGGACCCCGATTTAGTGAGTTCATAGGGACCGAAAATATTATTCGCTGAATCGGGGATAATTCGTAATATCGGGAGCAAAAAGAAAATGACTGACCTTATGGAGCATTCCCGCATCTCTACTAATAAGCAAACACACAAAATAAATAGAAATCTTTTTATTTAGGAACTTAAAATACAGCGAATGATGACGCGCTGATTCATTTGAAAATTTAAAATTCATTTTATGAGTTGCTTATTTTCTTGATTTCTTATTTAAAAAAGTTCTTTTACGACGTCTCCTTCCTTAAGAGAAAATACTCTTCAGAAAATACTCCTTCGTTTACATCTTGCTGCATTAGTTGTAAGTTCCCAAACCATTGCAAAATATCAGAAAAAAATAACTGTTTTCGCTGGAGATTCATTATCATCCACTTCTGTGTGTCACAGTTGCTATTAATTGTTTCCTATAAATCCGCATCATTGTTTTCTATAAATCTGCATCATTGTTTTCTATAAATATACATCATCATTGTTTTCTATAAATCTGCATCATTGTTTTCCATAAATCATTAACTTTATAAAATTTTTTAAATCGCGACATTTGGTAAATAGAGGTTCGTTAAACCGGGGTTTGATTGCATTAAATTTCAAGCAAGGAGCGCCAATCAAATGACACCAAATGTGTTCCTACATTCTATATCTTTCCTATAGAGATATCTTCCCCTTTTTAAATGTCTCTTACGTTAAGCCTAGAAATTCAAAAAGCAACGAGTCAAAATTAAAAGAGTCCCATTATTTCAATAACATGATTGGGTCCATTGCCATGAAAAGAATGATTGTTGAACGAGACGGTTTTCTATTTTTGCATGGAATGGAAACCTTTTATTTTAATTATTCTTCGAAACAAAATCCCTTCTACTGTTCAGTTGAAGAAAGCGAAAAATTCCTTTGTTGTGTGGAAGGTGTCTCGGAGTGCATTTTCATTCTTCTGAGTAAATAAAGACAGAATGTCTTCATTCTATTTGCCATTCATTTGTGTGTAGTTCGGCACGAGTTAAAAAGGCTTTTTTGGACACCCCACCATCTCTGACCTACCGCATAGACCGCCCCGCCATTTGTCATCGAGATGGACAACCATGAGAACTTGTCCGAAAAAGAAGACAATATTTCTTTTTCTCACGATGCGGACATATTGAGCATCTTAAAATAGTGGTCATCTTAAAGAAATGCCTTATTAAAAGAGATGCCGATGAGCAGTCTGAATGCAGCTCGAAATACGCGTTTTCAAACTTCCCTTATGAATTTTTTTTATTTATTTAAGAATAAATACCACATAATGTAATGCCGTCCATCAGTATATTTTTTGTTACACTTTTCTGAAACGATGGTTGTTTTCGGGAGGTGATTTCAATAGATGAATAACAACCCAGATAGCGAAATAAGGTATATTTTCACTCATCAAAAATCTTTTCATGTAAAGGTTTGTAATGAGGTTTTCGTGTAAACCTTCTAATCTGTGACAATCTGCTCCATTCTACGCACCCAATCCTAAACCTGGGATCTTCGATATTAAAACCTTACATCGAGATTGACTTATGGTTTTTAAGCATGAAAATATCTTTGAATAAAGCTAGTCTGAAGGTGAAAATAATCTTAAATCTAGATAATTATAATGTTTCTTTTCACAAAGTCTTGTTATGCTCAGCTGAAATCCACCTTGTCATGAAATTTTAATAGACAATGCAATTTTACTCTATCACTAGTTTGACTGATAGTGCTGATGGTGACACTACTTTTGGAAAAAAAAATAATTTTTAATTCTTTTAGGATGCAATATTTTTGCCTTATTGAATAAAGGTGTTTAGTACAAGCATTTTCGGGATGATAAAATTCCGACACAGGGTTACATGTTTTCTGGGTAGAAATACGAATTTAAATACCGCTTTATCATTCAATCACATTTGTACTATACAAACCTATTGTCCCTCATATTTAGAGTTTAAAAAAAAAGCACGCCATTTTCTTAAATCTGTGTCCATTTTCTTAAGCATGCATTTTAAGTAGTTTCCAGAATTTAAAGCTAATCAACGATATTATAAAAGATCGTCGCTTTCTTNCTTTCATCTGTTAATTTTTTTTCAAGATACATTTCTTTATTGTAAACAGGATATTAAAAAAAAAAAAAAAGTACGAATTTCTTGTACTTTCAAATTTTGCCACGAGAAACTGTATTGATGGCGCTGGCATAGCTACTGACTTTGAAACACAAATAACTACAAGCAGTAGTTTCGTATACTAACGTGTCTGTGCTCGCTTAACATTGGTATTTATTGTGTTGATGAAGTTTCACGAGATGTGAGATATCAGTTTCTGTTATACACCTTTGTTGAACTAAATAACTAATAGAAAGTGTAATATTATTTATATTTTATTAAATGAAATTTAAAAATATAGCTTAGATATCTGCCAAGTTTGTGCGGGCTCAATGTGCATAAGAAAAGAATCAAAGATGACTCAGAATTCATTGAAAAAATTTATAAACAGATTTGAACAGCAAACAAGACGATTACAATTCTTGCTTGATTAAACAATTTTCTGATTGTTATGTATCAAAAATTACTTAATTATTTGTTTCTGAATAAAAATATTTTTAATAAAAATTTTTTATAACAAAATTGTTTTTCTATATCATTTTAATTGTTTTAAAAAAAGCCAGGGAGGTGCAAGCGCACCCCGCTGCCGGCGCCCTTGCCTGGGGTTATTAAGTTGAAACTCTAAATGAAGTACCTCACATAAATTGACTGAAATTTTTATAATTCTATGCATGTTTTATCGTTACAATCGAATTTATTGACATTAGATTTCCAGATTATAATTTCATGAATGCGTGTTGAATACTTAGTAACAAATTTAGATTTATCATTTGATTTTTTCTTTGCAGAACCTGACATTATTTATACCGTTATCCAACATTATTTGGGTCATGTCATTTTTACGTATATATTGCCGATAATACAGTTATATGCATACACTCTAATAAATCTTTACGTATTTTATTCATTATTAGTATTATCTGCCCTGAAAGAAGCATTTCTTGCTCTTGAGGTGGGTTCAAGGCTTAGTCATAAATGTAGAGAAAACAAAATAAATGTTATTCTCAAAAAACAGAGTCCCAGACCCCTATCTTGAAATAGTTTCTTATAGATTTGAAACAGTAAGGAGTTTTACTTACTTAATATAAATTATTACTATTGTCAACTCCTGGAATAAAAAAACGACTCTTTTGGGCAAATAGGGTTGTCTATGGGTTGAGAAAATTTATTAAATCTTCGTTTCTTTCAAGAAAAACAAAATTCTTTGTCTACAAAACTCTTGTCCGACCAGTCTACGCTTCTGAAGATCTGGACAGTGACAAAACCAGAGGAAAATTGTATCACAATATTTGAGAGAAAGATTTTGCGGAGTATACTGGGTGGTGTAAATGAAAACGATAACTGGAGGAGGAGATTTAACTTTGACCTGTACAAGATTTACAAACAACCCGATATTATTAAATACATAAATATAAACAAAATGAATTGGATGGCCCACGTGACTCGAATGATGACAATACAATAAAAATGATACTGCTTTTTAGACCCACTGGAACAAGAAAGCGGGAAAGGCCGCGGTTGAGATGGGCTGACTGGGTGGAGTCTGATTTTCTTGCCATTGATGAAAAGAATTGGAGATCAAAGATAAATCGAAGATAAGTCATTATGGAGAGATTTTCAGAGTAAGGTATTGGCCCACATTAGGCTGTTGTCTCGCCAACTATGATGATGATGTAATTTTATAGCAAAAGTCACAGCAGCAGTTGTAAAATGTAATAAAGTTGCATTTGTGAAGAAGGACGTAATGATTACAGCAGACAGTGCCAAGAACAGCACCGTATGAATTGATTGTAATGTGCTGTAATAT